CCCGCCCTAGCTACATTTGTAGGACTAGAATTAAAACTTAAGTTATTCGGTTTAATACTGTTGCAGTGCAGTAATATGTTTATGGCAGGTTAATACTTTAAGTATCCTTGCGTATAAAGATCATCTCTAAATGGGGGGCAGTACCAAATAAACAAATTAAATTCATAACCAATGCTCCATGACTACATCAAAATACTGCAGTAAGGTTGAGCTCTAAGAAAAATCATAGAAGGCCTAAAGGCCCCCAAGCAATGAAATCTGGGGTAGTACCCCACTCTTATTGGTACACTGTATTTATCTTTTTGCTTTCTTTAAGACATTACCTGCTTACAATAACAAATAATAACAAAGAGCTTATCATAATTTATAGTAAGTCAGCTGATCCTGGAAGTCCGCTCATAACGAGTCTGTCATAAAGTTCCCCAACCATCAAATAGCGGTGATTCGCAATAAGATCAAGAACAACGTCGCACGGGTTGGTGGTTCTCTTATCAAGAAAGCGGATTTCGTTGTAAGACATACCAAAGCTCTCTGCAAGCTGTTTCCATTCTTCTCCACCTGGCAAACAAAAGCGATTTAAATGTTTCAGATTCTGTTTTATTGGAAAGTTTATAGAAACAGTTTTGCTTGTGAGGAAAGACCTACTGTTTAGAACACGGAATGGTATTTTTGTGTGACGTCAGATGCCTCCTTGAAAACAACTGGCCTTTTCTTTCAAGTTTGAGCCATGATTTTAATTTAAAACTTGTTGAACACTAAAATTCAAATAATTTTGTATGACTATGACATAATGTTGATACAAGAGATGCTATTCTTGCATAAAGGAGTGCTTAAGTAGCCACGACTTCGATGGAAGCGAAAGTGTGACTTAAGGTGGCTCGATAGGGTTTTTCAAGATCAAACGCTCCCAAGTTTGAGCATAAACTACCGTAAATGCTCGAATCAGCTCCCAGCTTCCAATAAGCGCCCGAATTGAATTGGCGCCCCTCCTAAGGCTTATAAAGCGCCTCCTTCAAATAAGCGTACCCGCACCCCCCCTCCCCGTACAAAAAACGAGGTTCAGTACTCGGTACGATATACGAGACGTATACGGTACTTTTAATGAATGGAGTGACATTCGTAATACCGTAAAATTCCGAAAATAAGCCCCTCCAAAAACCCTCCTTTAAATCGCCTCTCCAAATATAAGCCTCCGGGGGCTTGTACTTGGAAATTGCCCTCAAATTCAAAATAAAGCAAAGCAAAAACTGTACAGAAACACGTAAATTTTTGCATTTGCCATAGAACTATTACGTGTGCCAAATGATTGCAGTCAAAAAGTGTCATAGTATATTGCTGCAGCTGTTTGCGTAGTTCACTTATGGCTTGGATTTCGTCGTTCCATATGCGTGGCTGAGTTTTACTTAGATCTACGTCCTCAAGGCGAGTTTCGGTAAAAACTTTCTGCAAATTAGTCGCATAAATTTCCTTCCAACTATAAGCTAGTCCAGTCGATTTTCAGACGTAAATTTCCCTCCTTATATAAGCCCCTCAAAAAGGGCCTTTGAAAAATATAAGCCCCGGGGCTTAATTGCGGAATTTTACGGTGGTACAAAATTAATATTCTTCAAAGTCGTACGGGTTTGCTTCTCATTTTCCTCGGATTTTGACGGGCAACTCGAAAACGTTTTGAGAACGTTTCAAGATTCACAAAAAGTACTTTTCTGTAACGTTTTTTTGAATTTTTATATGTTACCTTTTTGGTTAACTATCGAAATAAAAATATGGCCATTTTGAGGCCAAAAATTGATAAACGAAATAAGCGCCCCCCTCTCGCCTTAAAAAAATATAATAAGCGCCCCAGGCGCTAATTGGAGCATTTACGGTACGTCGCCATTAACTGACAGATTTGGAAAAACTACCACCACAGCTGTTTTAGGGCCTGTTTACAAGGAAAGAGGGTTACCGTTTTGCTAGGGTTACCCTAGCAAGCGGGTTAAAGTTAGCTCTGGTTTACAAGCAAATTTCAGAGTTAGGGTACCCTATCATCCGGGTCAACTTTACAAGCTTTGCTGACGTGTTTCGTCATGCGTGACATTCTTTGTAACGGTCCAAAATTTTAAATAATCTTGAAGTTCTCTATAGAAAACACGTCAAGTTTACGAAAAAAAGGGAAAATATTATCATCGTAGACAGAACATAAACCTGAAGACACATGTGAGAAGCTTGCAGGACATAACAAAATAACACTTACCACAAAGACCAAATGTTAGTTCCTTTCTCATCTTAAAAGGAATACAACGCACATCAAGGTTCTCGCTCAATAAGGGACCTGGTTACCAAACAACATGGTGTGAATAAAACAGACTACCATAACTGTACATGCAGATCTGCGTATATACTTCTACATCTGCAAAGTTCCAACATGAACTTTTTTGAACGTCTAAAGGTGGCGAAAATGAGGTGCCGGCTATTGTTGAAAATAGATTGAAGTGTTCTTTCGAGTTCTTGCCTGAAAGATGCAGAAAAACTTCACTTACTACGAGGAAGTATCTCTCCTCGTAGTAAAAAAAGAAACAACGAATTTTTACATGGAGTTTGTTGTGGACGTACCTGTAGTACCGGCAGGTGCTATAGTCCTCAAGTACTCAATTACGCCGATTCTGTTTTGAGATTTAGCTTTATTAGCTAGGCACCGCATCCATCGTTTCGTCTTTGGCACTGGATTTTCCAGATCTGCTGGAGTTAACTGCAGACACTCTTGAAATTGAACTACAATTTCCTTGGGGTCGCTCTGCTGAGACTGAATGCACTGAAGAACATCATGGGGAAGAGCAAGAGACTTCTCTAGAAATTAAAGAAACATGTTACAACAGAAGACTTCAAGTGCCTGCTATTATAAATTGGATTAAAAGAAAGAATAGGTAAGAAAAAACTCAAGGTTGAAAAAAATACAACTGATATAAGAGTTCTTGCCTTCTTTGTAAGTTATACAGCTTCTCAGTTCTCCCACGTCACATCCAGATTCACATTGCTGCTAGAGAAAAAATACATAATCAACGAATTAAGAATATACAGTTTGGAAACCCTGAATTTTGTTGTTGTTGTTTTCTAGTATATATATTTTTCTCATTACCATAAAGTTGTATTATGAGTCTAAATATTGATATCTTTTGCTACAAATGATTAAGGTCAAAGTGACAAGATATAATATATGTACTCTTTCCTCCCTGAAGGAGCTTATTCTTTAATTTTGTATATTGAACATCTTGAAAAAACTGCAGTGGTTTTAGTAGTATTCGAGAACACACTCGTGAATTGTATTTTGTACATAACGTTTGCAAAAGACAGATACCAACCTCATTCACTGGAGTCCTACTTTCAGGCCCTGTAAGGGAAAACCAAGGAGCAAACATTTTGATGTTAATTCTGTAATCGCCACGAAAACCAGGTCGGCTGCAATACTGACATTGCTGAAGTTCGGATTCAGACAACAAGTGAAGACACTCACAGCCACGGACATCATGAGAACGACATCTGAGAGGATCTTTCTGCGAACACACTGGACAGCAAACGCACATTTCGTACCTCATGTGTTTTAGCCAGCTAAACTCTCTGCGCATGCACTCGAGAATGAGTCTGAGTTGCCAATGAATTGCACGACTGGTGGCTAGATTAGAATAATCATCAATGAAATCTTCCACCATTGCTCCACAAAAGTTGCCTCCATCATGAAGGGCGATTTCAATAGAAGAGGAATGACAAATAATGATAACAGACATCCCTTGATCAGGAAGGATGTGGAACCGAGCAAAATTCCTAAACAGTTGAGGTTGTATCTGGCTCTTCCACTCTTCTTTGCACCACTGATAAAACTGGAGAACTAGCCGTGTGAACAGGCCTGGAGGCACTCGGCCTAAATCAAACCTCACAAATAGTGAAGGGATTCTCACAGAGGAAAGGAGCTTAACGAGGTCGTCAGAAGGGGGCGACATCAACATGGATGGCACCAGGTACTGTTTGTGTTCTCCGTCAGATGGCCAGGGGCAGAGCAAGCTGAATCTCTCCATCAACGCGATAAGGGTCCCACAGGTTTCTTTACTGTACATATCAATCAAAGATTTCCACTCATGAACCAGGAGCCTTTCATCTAAGATTCCAGTCTCATGCAGCTTGAGCCAAAACTGTTCAAGAATATATTCTGTCGGCTCATAACGTTTAACAGTGATTACCTTCTTGAAGATATCAATGAGCCATTGGGGATCTAAGATCACCATGTTGTTCAATTCTGGTGTTTCATTAAAATGAATCAGAACCTTTTGATCATGCAAAAAATCAAGCATAGTCCGAAATTGCTCATCGCCGTCGATCGCACACTCATCAGTTGCAATTCGCTTTGCTTCATTAATGGGTATCCATTTGTACTGCTTTTCAAGTAAAGACTGGAGAATATGTTCAAACCTTAACCACTTCAATGGAACGGCCTCCTGCATCTGTGGAAGACTTTGGGCAACAGAAATTATTTCTTTCCTGAGGCGCACTACCTCAGGACACTCGTCAGTCTCGCTTCCTGACTTCGTATTGTCGACAACAAAAACGTCCTTAAACAAATGGTTTCTATAAGGCTTCTTTTTGAGAAATCCATAGATGTCAAGCGCCAACTCTCTGGGATCCCTGTTCCTACAGTAGGGTTCATCGGCATGAGTACATACCAAAAACACTGGAGGTAACATTTTGGGTGAGGCAAGCGGCACAGATATGTTCTGACCATCACCATGTGGGCCAACCAAAGAATAAACTGATGAAAGCCAAAAGTCAAGATTGTCCAGGTTTGTCTTGTTGCAGTAATCGTCTTCTTTGTTTTTGTACAGCCCTTTTCTCACAACACTGACAGCTTTCTGGTATGGATCACGACTTAGATCACAAGTTAAAATATATATGGCTCTCTCTGTCAGGAAGATTGGATGGGTAGCATAGTAAACGGACTGTCCACCAAAGTCCCAAAGAATGGAGAACAACTCGTCCTTTTCTTCATTCTTTTTCGTATTTAGCAGAAGGTCTTTCACCAGCTTTGCTACACGTTCTGGGACTTCGTTTGCAAACGGAAGAGTGTATCTTTCTGCGCTTGCTTCTGAGTACTTAAGTGAAGCCTCAGGCTTCCTTTTGCTTGGTTCCTTTACAAGTTGTTTCTGAGATGTTTCTTCTTTCGCCTGTAGCTTCTCGACATCCTTTAATGCTCCAAATACCGACCGTGCTATATGATGCTCAAGGTAAGCCTCTGAAAAAGGTTCACTTTCTTTGTCGCTGTCACCTGTTCTCCAAATTTCCGTCGAAACCTTAAAGTATTCGGGATCAGTCTCTATTCCTTCAGTGCTCTGTTCCTTTGGATTGAACTTTTCTCCCTTCAGAGACTTCTTTAGACTGGTCTTCCCTGTCCGATCCTGCCCAATTATCATAACGGGTACTCTTTTGATGAATGCTTTCCCATCCAAAAGAGCTTTGTTGTAGGCTTCAACGGCCGCGGGACCTCGTGCCTGAATATCCAAGGGGGCTATGAAAAAGAAAGAGATATCAGCTTAACTCTTCAAAGCCAATATCGTTGCAATTTTAAAAGCCAGCTTTAAAGCAGTGTTAAAAAGTGCCAAAAAGAAGCATGCAGAAGCTGTTTTGGTTTTCTTTTCCCTGGCTGAATGATACTGATCCAGTAGTCGAGCCACGAATTCCTTAAATCATAAGTTAATCTTGCACCTGTTCGCATAAAGAATCTTGCCTATGAAAAAGTATTTTAATCGGGTGTTGAAGCTCACCATAACTAACAGGCCTAGAATTCGGTTGAAAACTAAACGAACTAGAGAAAAATTGCAGCCTAGCCCTGAAACAACAGAGCTGCGTGTCATAACGATGCTAGTTTTTGGCAAGTAGGCCTCTTGAGTGTTGTTCTTTCAGAATATCCTGACAAATTCGCATAATTTCAGAAATTTGATTTTTTTATGACGTCACACTTTAGAACTCTATTTCAAAATATTTTGGGTACATAGATCTTAAATATATAATTAAGACAATAAAACGGAAATTTAAATATACCCCAACTGGAAAGGCTGACAAAACAGGGAGCCACATCAGTAGCCACCCTTCATAATTAATACCCATCGGCAATAAATTGAATTTACATTACCTTCCAGTAGTAGTGTTTTAGAAAATTCTGCAGAAAACAAACGATATAACATCAGTGCAAACTATTTTTCACTAGCTCTACACACCACGCTCATGCGTTTGAACCCGGTACTTTAGGGAAAAACTACTTCTACCTCTATACACTAGAACCATGAAGAAGGGAGACAGGAGTTTCGGCGCGGCGCAGCTTCGCTCCGTTACAGAAATGGCGCCCAAAACACCGTTCTTATGTGTGAAAAGAATTCCTATCCGGTATGGTTGTCATGCCGGCGCAAAAGCTATCCGGTACAATGTAAACATAGCCTCACATTCTTTAATCTGTAAAATTCATTGCTTGAAAAGTATTCTCCAACGGGGTTAAAAACTCTAGTTTGGATCTCTCTCACAACTAGACATCCAAACAGGTGCTCTGTTGATCAGCTTTGCTTATTTACATTTCGCAGGAAAAAAGAAAACAACTCAGCTATGGAGAACAGACAAGGTCGTCAGAAAAATACACGTTCCTCTCCTTAAAAATCCAATGAATCATTCCTATCTTGAGTTCCTAATAGTCTTTCTGACAAAACAGAGAAAGCAAAGAATCCTTTACCAACCGAAAACTGAAAGACGCGGATACTCCTCCCCCACTTCCTCCCCACGAGTTTCGAAGTCCACTCTCGCTTATTTAATTTAGAATGTTCCAGAAAAAAAAATATCGGTTTGATTACGAATTTTCGTTTCCCCATAAAATGCGTCACAAAACCCAGACTGAAACGCAAGTTATACACATAGGTTATATTTCGTACTAAATGAAGTACTTATCGTAGCTTTGGGCCAGGCCCTGGAATGGGGGAAAAGGCAAAAAAACGGGATCAAATAGGAAAAAATACCGTCGAGCGAAGTGATCCCAGCAGTGGTCTGGAAAGGGGCAAAGGGCGGCGGAGAAGAGCTGAGATGCATGAGATAAATCGTTCGCTTGTCGCAGTAGTAAGCTGATATAATTTCAAGTTAATTTGGTTACATAGATCTTTAGTGAGTAAGACAACAAAACGGAAGATTAAACTTACTCCAACAGGAAAGGTTAAAAAAACAGAGAAAACCCAAAAGCAGCCAACCTACATATTATACCCATCAACAATAAATTGAATTCACATTACCTTTCAGCACTCTTTTAGTTGGCTCTGCAGAAAACAAACAATGCAAATTTACAATTAGTTCATGCGTCAGCGTGCGTAAGTTTGAAATACTGTAACTGCAATACCAAAAGAAGATAATAAGCGCGCTAAAACAGATCAAAATTAAAATCAAAGTTATTTCATGCATGAGATGAACCTTTCGTTTGTCGCAGTAGTAAGCTGATACAATTTCAAGTTAATTTGGTTACATAGATCTCAAGTGATTAAGACAACAAACTGGCGGAAGATCAAACTTACTCCAATAGGAAAGGTTGAAAAACAGAGGACCCAAGCAATAGGCACCCTCTATAATATACCCATCAACAATAAATTGGATTTACGTTACCTGGTACTCGTCTTACACCAAATTCTGCAGAAAACAAACGATACAACATCAGTGCAAAATATATTTAACTACCTCTAAACGAAGCGCCATGCGTTTAACCCAGGTATTTCTGGGAGAAAATACTTCTACTTCTATACACTAGAACCATGAAGAAGGCAGACAGGAGTTTGGGCATTGGTTCACTTTAGAGATCGGCGAGCAGCAGCTTTGGTCTGTTACAGAAATGGAGTCGAAATCACGAAATCACCCTTTTTATGTACGATCAGAAGCCCTATCTGGTATGGTTTTCATGCCGGCCCAAAAGCTATCCGGTATAATGTGAGCATAGCCTCACATTTTTTAATCCGTAAAATTAATTCTTTAAAAAGTATTCTCTAATGAGGCAAAAAACTATAGTTTGGATCTCTCTAACAACTAGACATACAAATAGGTGCTCTGCTGATCAGCTTATTTACATTTTGCAGGAAAAAGAAAACACAACTCCCAGAAATCTTTCTTATCGACGTCCGTAGTGGTATTTCCAATAACTATGTTAGTCAGGAGGCAACTCGCCAAAAAACGATTTTCGCTAAACATTTTGAGTAGAAGCAGGCAACATAGCTTAAAATCTTCGTCTTGCCATCCTAATTAAGAATTGTGCTGTTGCCCACTCCAAATGTTATGATATCTGTCATTAAGCAGGTTTTTTGTCTAGGCCCTCGCTCCTGCAGCATGAAAACGAGGCTGAACTGTAACATTTATATAAACCCAATAAAAAGTGCACAATACGATGGGGAAATAGCTGAATCTTTGTTACTTGCTGTTTAGAGCTCGATAGACAGTAGTATGGGAGATAAAATGCGTCACGTGATCAGTTATGAAGAGTCACGTGACTTTCCAATAATATCGATTCTAAAGCATAAAAGACGCTCTATTCACACTTTCCTTTAATATAGTTTTCAACTTACTGACGTTTCTCATTTCGATTTACAGATCCAACAATAAAAACACAAAAATGCAATAGGTGATCAGCTATGATGGGTCACGTGATGTAATGAAATCATTCTATTTTCAGTCATTCTATAGCGTTTCCAACCTATGTAACATTTCCCATGAGTTAGGATTTTTCATGTAAAAAGACTGAGCTTTCTTCTACTTGGCCGCACGGTTTAAGCCAGAAATACAAGCTTATAAACCATAAGCAAAGTATCTTACATTACACAAGACCACCATGTGACTTCCACCTTATCAAGGTTATAGGTCATGCTTCATTCGCCTCTGCTGCAGTGTTCCTATCGTTTCTGCACCTGTCGCCACATTTACATGCCTTGGAACAGCAAAGAGATAGTTTAACGCAAGTGCAGCGTCGGTTTACACTGCATCCGCCCTCTCGGGAGGACCCACAGTATGCTAACTGTAAACACGCCGCTGATTTGGCTTTCTTCTCCAAGGTGTTCCAAGAGGTTAGGTGCATCTTCGAAGACTTTCCATGCCGAAGCCTTGCCCACACCATAGAGCTGGCTTGTTGTACCACAGCCAGTAATGTCATGAAATGCAAGAGGCGACTTCCTCTTCTCCTCGGAGAGCGGGATTCTGTGAACTGGTATGTAACGCCTTTGTCTTGATGTACCCGCAAACATCCATATCTCTTGACAAAGCTGCTCTCGGTATGCCAAAAGGAGGACAAGAACGTCCGTATCACGACACAAAATTTTGACTTGCTTGTACCCTCTTGCTGCTACGTCTCGGGCATGCAGTACTATTCTAGTATCTGCCTCCTCATGATCTGAAGCGAGCTCTCTTATATCTTGTCGTGATGTGTCAGATGACCACACCTTCAGTGTATCCTTGAAGCCTCCATTGATCACCAGCTCTCGCCCAGGAGGCGCGCGGTAACTCTCCGAGATGTCAGTCGAGAGGAAATGAGGTAGGCTAGCCTTGTTATCTTCTAGAATGATGAACCTCTCCCAGTTTCCAATTCTCTAATCTCTGTTATCCACATTGCGCCTAATCCCTGCACTCTTTTTCTCCTTGCGCTTGTCTCTGGTTCCTCCTTTTATCGAGTTCTTGACATATCTGTCAAATAGCAGGTCAACCCTTGTATAGCCTCCCCCGCAGACATTCTTAGGCGTGCGTCACGCGTTCCTTCCGTGACGCACGCCTAAGAATGTCTGCAGGGGAGGCTAGACCTCAGGGGCAGTCTGCAAAGCATCTTCATGTCTGCAAGAAATATGACGCTCTATCTGGTGTAATTCGAGTGGTCGAAAGCTGCAAAATAGGGTAGCATTTCGGACAACAAAGAGAGATCAACTACTTGATTGAGCCAGATAAACACCCTAAAGGCTCGGACACAGCAAAACATTGCGCGCAGTAAAGACAGATCCCACTTTCCTTCCCGGATCGCGCGCGTAAACCTCAGTAAGATGGACACCAGTTTCATGTATTGCCTCCAGTAACAGAACGAGGGTTGTCATGATGTGCGGCATCAAAAGCTTTGATGATATGTGCAGCTTGTCCAACTTCATTAACAAGCTCATTGCTAGTCAGGGCATCTACTAATGCATCATCGTCGTTCCCAGTCGTAAACTTAGTGACCAATGTTTCCGACAGATTGAAGCACATATTTACTCCCATCAAACATAGTTTTTTTTTATTTCTAATAGAAAATAATTCCTGAAGAGCTTACTGAAACAATCACAATCAACAATCACGCTATTCACACAGCTAAGGCTAATTCAGTATCTATTCAATGGTTGCTATCTAGTCACGTGACCCATCATAGCTGATCACCTATTGCATTTTTGTGTTTTTATTGTTGGATCTGTAAATCGAAATGAGAAACGTCAGTAAGTTGAAAACTATATTAAAGGAAAGTGTGAATAGAGCGTCTTTTATGCTTTAGAATCGATTTTATTGGAAAGTCACGTGACTCTTCATAACTGATCACGTGACGCATTTTATCTCCCATACTACTGTCTATCGAGCTCTAAACAGCAAGTAACAAAGATTCAGCTATTTCCCCATCGTATTGTGCACTTTTTATTGGGTTTATATAAATGTTACAGTTCAGCCTCGTTTTCATGCTGCAGGAGCGAGGGCCTAGACAAAAAACCTGCTTAATGACAGATATCATAACATTTGGAGTGGGCAACAGCGCAATTCTTAATCAGGATGGCAAGATGAAGATTTTAAGGCATGTTGCCTGCTTCTACTCAAAATGTTTAGCGAAAATGAAAAATGAGCGCCCTGCGTGACAGTGCTTCCTGACTATGTTCTTTATGCTTAACAATCGTGAAACATGGAAGGCAATGATTCATTTACCCACACCGAAAAATTCAAAAAAAGACAAAATCCTAGCCGTGCACGAGATTTCCATATTGCAATTATACCGATAGATGTCCACCATATATCGATTTGCTACATCTTTTTGTTTCCACCTCAAAATTCATGTTATGCATTACGGATGCAAGACTGAAGAGAAGATCAGAGAACGTTATACGCGCTCCACAGGAAAGGTTGAGAAAAACAAGGAAACTAAGCAGCAGCCAGCTACCCCTAATAATATAACAACCAACAATTCATTAATGTTACCTCTATAAAGTTCTGCAGAAAACAAACGATAAAATTTAGTGCAGAGTATTTTTCTCTACCTAGTAGATTAGCTAGATTAAAGGGACACAGTCACCTATGTGACCGCGCTGACCTGGACATTACTTTTGCCAGTTTGAAAATCAAATGTACGCGTCGGATATACCTAGAAATCCGCTTCAATCTTGCCTAGTGTTTCATTCGATCCTCGATCTTTTACTAAAAACCTCTTTTTGAGCAAACTTTTACTCATCCTATTACATTATTCTATCATATTAATTTGGTCAAAAACGCTTCTCATATTCTGTTTCAAGCAGGTGTCTTGTGACATGCAAATCAGCCAAGAAATGGTATCTAATGCGCATGTGCATCAGCTAACTGTGTCCCTTTTAATACACGGAGAATGCCGGGTTATTGAGCGTTGATGTCAACACGCTATGCGAGGGCACATGAAAGAAAACTGATTATCAATCTGACTTCCCAAGGCAATTTTCACCCCAATACTCCTTCCAGATCTTAGTGGGAGTTCGAGTTGGACTCTTTCTAAACGTTTGAACGGGGGAAATATGGCATCAGTTTAAGCAATTCTAATTGTAAAATCAGTTATTTAATGTATGAGATGATTCGTTCCCTTGTCGTAGTAGTAAGCTGATATAATTTCAAGTTAATTTAGTTACATAGACCTTTAGTGATTGAGACAACAAAACAGAAGACTAATTAAAACTTACTCCAACTGGAAACGTTCAAAAAACAAGGAACCCCAGCTTCATAATAATTATACCCAACAATATTAAACTGAATTTACATCACCGCGTCAATGCGTTTGACCAAAGCTTTTTAGGAGGAAAATACTTCTACCTCTATATATTAGAACCATGAAGACAGCAGATAGGAGTTTGTGCATGGTCCACTTTAGAGATCGGCGCGGTTACAGAAATGGCGCCGATCACTCTCACGTAAACAACGCATGCTAGCAGCTTGCAGAGTGTACACTTCAAACGTGTTTGTTTATATTTTATCGGAAGGGAAGGGAGCTTCCGGGGCAGTAGTTCGTCGGTTCTTCTTTGGTTTCGATTGTTCGGCTACCCTTTTTCTGGAAGAGCGGTCAAGCGCGACTAATTAGGTTGTGTTTCTCATTTTTACAGTGTTTACGGGGAGGCGTTTTCTCTTCTCTCTCCTCGCCCCCTCCCCACTCCCTTTGACTCAACCCATTTCCTCCTCTCTTTTGAAGTTTGAGCATGGCGTGTTCGCGAGCAAAAGCATTCGGGCGCTCGAAGAAAACACCTGCACAGCAGGCTAGGTAATTGAGCGTTGATGTCAACACTCTACGCGAGGGTACATGAAAGAAAACTGAATGTCAATCTGACTTCCCAAGGCAATTCTCACCCGAATACTCCTTCCAGATTATTAGTGGGAGTTCGAGTTGGATCTTTCTAAAAGTTTGAGCGGGGGATATACTTGTATCAGTTTAACAAAATGTAA